GTATATATTGGTAAACAATGGTCATCAGTGTCCAGGAAAATTTCAATAACTCCAGGTTCATGAACATTGTTTCATCCTGGAGGTAATCCTTTTTCATCCCTCCCCCCGTTCATATTAAACACCCACCATAAAACCATGGTGGATGTAGGGGATGAAACCACTTTGGGACCATAGAGTGGAGGTGTTCAATATTAGGGGGATGCGACGATGCGATTAATTATCATGAAATGATTGGTCGCAATAATGAAGGGATGACGGATGAAGCATCAATTATTGTATGTTTCCGATTGTATCCCACTTTGGTTGGGATCAAGTTAATGGAATTATGATGAATGAATGATGTTTGATTTCCGGGGAGTCATCAGGAAATATCCTTATACACCTTATTTCAGATCGGTGCATTTCTATGCATTTCTATAATATACCCTCTGGTAAACTGTCACATAACTATGGAAAATCACAATTTTTAATAGGTAAACTATCTATAAATGGGCCATTTTCCATGGCTATGTTAAATAACCAGCGGGTATATCCACCTTGGTTCTACCATTCTACCACCCGGACTTTTGATGATGCCCCCCTGCGAGGCACTGCGAAATGGATATTGTGGGACTTCGCCATCCAGTGCGCTGGTGAGTCGGCGTTGGGCCATTTTAAGGGCCTGTTTAGATCACCAGAAGTACGCTGAAATCGCTGAAATTCAAAACAACCTACAGGGTGGTGCCCCAGTGAGCTAAATCGCTAATTTGGTTGAAATAAGTCCAAGAACTATTGTTTTTGTTGGTGATATATAGCCATTTATAACTGGGGTGGCAGGGGGCACCATCTTCTATCAACCTGTTTCAACAAAAAGACGCAAGGCATGTCAAAGCTCCAAAAATCATCGACTAGCATACCTGGTTGGTGGTTTGGAACATGGCTTTTATGTTCCATTTCATATATGGGTTGTCATCCTTCCCATTGACGATCATCCATATTTTTCAAGATGATTATTGCACCACCAACCAGATACCACTGATTCATCTCCATAATGGATGAGACCCAGTAGCTACCTCCAGTATGTCGCTCTTGACCTGAGAAGCCGGACCTTGCGACGTCGCTGAGGTACGCTGGACTTTGCCTGGTCGGGGCAACCCAAGCGTTGTTTTTTGTTGTTTTAAGGGGTTCGACATGGTTCAACTAGAACATGAGATGACTGTAACACAACAAAACCGTATAAAACTGGGGGTTCAACCTTAAAGATTGGGATATAATGAGCCAAACATTCACCGTCGTATGAATCTTATGATGTCTTGTGCAGTTGCCCTACGCTTTTTTCCAATGCGAGATATCCATGTTATCAATGATCCTGCTGGAAAAACTGGCAAACGTTCTGGCTTTGCGTTGTGGCTTTGCGGTGTGTGCAATCAAATTTGACTGGAGCATATATTTTGTTGCTATTTCAGAGGAAAGCACCAATATATATATATATATATTTGTGAAAATCTCCCTGGCTCCAACTATCAACTACGTTGCTAGAATTAGCTACAAACTAGAAATACAAGTTTCCCAAAGTTGCAGCAAGGAGTTCCACCATAGAAATAGAACATAATTTAACATCATATAACGCACCAAGCTCAAGGTGTTCAGCAGAAGAATCTGTGTCCAGCCTCAGGCTATTGCCGGCGGGCCAGTCACATCCTCAGCGGGCCAGATAGGCTTGGCAAATCATGAGATTATTATTTAAATAGACATATAATCACGGGTTGGTGGTTTGGAACATGGCTGGATTATGACTTTCCATCTGTTGGAAAGTTCATCATCCCAACTGTTACTAAAACTCCATCATTTTTCAGAGGGATTGGTTGAAACCACCAACCAGTAAATATACATATAATTCATATAAGAATATAGTATACTTACAATGTGAGGCCCCCAAGATAGCGTTCAGTTGGTGCAAATAACTCCAATTTCACTATGGTTTTATGGTACGCAAACAGCGATATATAGTATTCCTGGGGCGAATCTAAACCAACAAGCATCACTGGGGGGCCTCACATTACCCTCCGGTAATTTAGCATAGCTATTGAAAATTGCCATAGAAATAGTGAGTTTTCCCATTAAAAATGGTGGATCTTTCCAGTTCGCTATGTTAAATTACCAGAGGGTATAGATAGACTATCGCTTCCCATCCAGGTCCTCCACAGCTCCTGGCGGCTGAGGTCTCCCGGCTCGGCTGAGTTCAAGGAACGTACGGTGGAGGCGAGGCGCGCTGAGTTGGTTGGGCTTTGCGGCGAAACGTAGGGTGAATTTCGCCACCAGTTCTGAGTGATTTTTCATGGGATTTTTGCTAACAGTTTGCTATGGTATAGATGGCCCATATAGAAATCGATGGTTTACCTATCTTAATAGCATGGTGATTTTCTATAGCTATGTTAAATTATGTTAATTTACCGGAGGGTATCATGGGATTATAATGATAGTGGTTATAGCCATTCAATAGTCCCACTAGAGAGAGGGAGTAATCTCTACAATGATAGTGGTTAAATCCCATCATAAATCCCTCTGGTATCCAGCATTTTCCAGGTTATCCCTCTGGTTTCTTGTTTGGTAAATCAACTATTTCTATGGGCAATTTTCAATAGCAACTGTTAGTCATTACCAACGGGTATGGTTCAAAACCCTGGTACCATCTGGTACCATTTGGTATCCTAAAATAGTTTTTTAATGGATGTATGTTCCCCCTTTTTAAATGGTAAGTTTATAGGTTTTGACTCATCCCCATGTTCCAATGCTGTTGCAACAATGGCCATTGTTTGATTTTTTTCTGGCTTCCTTAGAAAATAGTTTTTACCTCGAAGAAATGGTACCCTTCAACAGCATCGTGGGTGTAACATGGTGGCACCGGCACCAACAAAGGAAGTATCCGCAACTCTGAGAGCTGAGGCCTTGCTACAGCTGTTGGGGCCCTGGAATCTCTGAAATGAGGTGTGAAGATGTTCCAAGGCTCCCTTTGGGATTGTTGTGGACGAAAAGCGGGGGATGTTGCACAACATGATGTTGCCAGTAAGATCTTGGTTGGGAACATATTTTGGGGATTTTACCAGGATTTCATTTGATCTTATCCCAAGAAATCCGGTTTGACCATGTTCATCGGACCCACACCGGAGATGTTTGGGATTTGGCACCCCATATGCTATTTGGCTGGTGTTTTTGGAATGTTTAGTTTAGATAGTTTTCAGCACATGGGATGATGGTTGTAGCTGACTATCATTCAGGTACCAATAAGTTTCCAATATAATGAAAACAAAACAATGATAATCAGACAAGCATCCCCATGTGTGAGACCTACAATTATTTCGCGAAACACTATATAATTGTTGGGTTCGGGTTTAATGCATCGTAGCCCATGTAGTTTGAAGACTTGAGGCTTCATTTTTCATGGTGCATTCCTATTTTGTTGATTCAGCTTGGATGTGTGCTTCAATATGGGATCTTAACCAGTCATCTATAATATAAGGTTATTTCAAAAAGTCCTAGCAATCCAAGAGCCAATCTACAGCTATGTTTTGGTGCTAAGCCGAGTTTGTGTTTCTTAAATCCATTCGCTTTCTGAGCATCATGTTGCTACTGTTGTTGTTGTTGCTGTTGGTGGTGGTGGTGGTGGTGATGGTGCTGTTGTTGCTGTTGTTGTTCTTCCGCAGGTTAGATCATTTAGATCCAATCTTTTGCTGCTTCAATCCCATTTGGGTTTGTCTGAAAGTAGGCTATACGAAATCCACTGGCTGATCATCATGTTTTCCCATTGGTTGGTTGATTAATAGAGGGGTTTCTGAAAAACCCCTTTAACAACAGGTTTGTTTGATGATAGAGATGGTATACCAGCTCCCGGCTCCTCTATTTTTACCAAAAGGACATTATTGGCAGTGGCCATGTGGGGATATACCCCATTGTCAGATGTTAGCTGGTTTCCATGTGAAGTCCTATGTTTCATGGCCGTTTTCAGACACCAAGGCCTGGTGTGCACGCCCGGGCCTGTGAACTGTGACCCAAAGCATGTTTCACTGGGGCCAGGGCCGGGGCCTGGTGGGTCGGAGAGCCAGACATGGGAAGTGGTAAGCCGGTAAGCCACGTGAAAAATGGGGACATAGCCAATGTACATCGGGAATGTTGGATACATCTGGATATTATGTTTGTACATTCAATTGATTTTTGGATGAGTGGATATAGCCACTGTACAAGGGTAAATCTGGCTGCGCGGTTGGTGAATGGGCTCATTGTTAGCAATTATTATGGAGGAGTTCGATGTGCTGTGATGTTTGTTTTGTTCCTCGGGGATGGATACCGATACTGTGGTGGATTTGAGTATGCATTCATTCTATTTGTTCATACCTGCTTTTAATTGCCAGCTATATCCAGCACTCAGTAGTCTGTGACCTTCATTTGTGCATTGGCGTTATTGACAATCCTTCCAGCTCAATGGGTGTCACAACTTAGACAGCTTTCTCCGGAGCTTTGGTGTCTCTTTCAAAGATTAACCCAGGAATGTGGCCAGCCGATGCTAGTCGCATATTATTATATACATTTATATGTTTTTTTTGGGTTGGATGATGCCGTGCTTCCCCATTTTCCATTGTCCATCCCGTGTTTTCCGAAAGCCATGAATGATGCCACATCTGGCGGTCATCATACGGTGGCGAACAGGACTAACAAATGGCGGTTCCAGGATTCTGCCAGATTCACAAGTTTCCCTCTGGTCACATGGGAAAATTGTCAATTTGGGTGCTTGAAATACGATTTTTATCATCAATCCATCATCAATCCTTCAGGTTCGTTAGCTCAAACAACAATGTAATATAATTTATACTAATTTATGTCAACAGTGTATTTTCTGTGGTTATCTTCTGGGTGCTCTTACTATATATATATATATATATATATATACAATTCTGTGGCCGAAAAGCCTCACTAATTATTGTTGCAGATGAAATCCCAACAGTTGGAGTCTCGTCATGTCGTCATGTTTCGTAACGGTCGCTCGCCACCGCCGTTGCACCGGACTGGACCCAGCTGAAATTTTGCGTTGCGTTTCCACGCGGGCCATCAAGGTGGAAACGCGGGCCATGGAACGAAGGACCAATTCAATGGAAAATTTCTGGGGGAAAAAAGTCTTAAAGGGACGTTTCTTATAATGAGCATATGTCTTACATGCTATCGACAAAGGACACATTAGTTGGACTCACAGAAGCTGAAATTCATGGAAATCTCCCAGCGGCTCGCCGGTGATCGATCATAGTTAGCATTGGAACATGTTGTTATTTTTCCAGCTGTTTTGCCGCTGAAAAAACAGCTCTGCTGTTGTTTTTCTTGTTGGGAATGGTGAATTTTGTGTATCCTCTTGACTTCACATTGAAACTTCATGTTACTTTGCATTCGTAGAGTGGATTATGAGGGCCCATGGGGTGACACGAGTGTTGGCCGATTCCGAGGGCATCATTCTATTATATTCTATTCATTTCTATTCAATAAACCGTCCAAGCATGTGTTACAGATTATTTCAAAGAGGTTCTGTTTCGCAAGTAGCATAGTTACATGCATGAACATGAATGCATGAATATGCATATATTGTTAGTATAGCAATAGTAAACTATCCCAATCTTACCATAAATGAGTGGGATTCCAACCATCAAAATATAGATGGCTTATGATGTTGCTTCACTAATATTATACAGTCAGATATCATTTGATGAGCTTCTCACATGATAAATTGTAAAGTTCCAAGTATATAACAATTATCAACCTTTATTAACCACTATTAACATCTATTAAGCATATGATCCATTCATCACCATTATCAGACATAATAATATATATATATACAACCCCATAAAGCTAGGCTAATTTCTCATCCCAGTTCTAGATACTTCCAGCCGTTCCCCGCCTTTTGGTCAGCTAGGCCCTCCCTTCGCAGCATGGCACACTTCAGCCTGCACGAGCATGCGGAGCACATGCTCCGTATGACCGAGGTGTGGGGCCTGTGGGGTGTCTTCCCTGTGTTGACTACGTTGTATGTACCCTCTGGTATTGTACCCTCTGGTATTGTACCCTCTGGTAATGACTAACATAGCTATTGAAAATGGCCATTTACAGTGGATTTACCATTTGAAAATGGTGATTTTCCATAGTTATGTTAGTTTACCAGAGGGTATGTATATATTTGTGTACATATACATGTTGATAGTTGTTGATAGTTTGATATGTTGTAGGTACGCAATACATATGCGTACCTACATCCATAATCATATCTATTCATATTTATTCGTATTTATATATATATACATATCTATGTATATGCTAACATTGTTTTGTTTATGTATCTGTCATATATGCCATTGACTGCACTGAAGAAGTTGTGAGGCATCTATAAGTCTGGCCAGTGAATTCCCCCTTTGCCCTCAGAGTCGCTCAATTGTTCATTGCCAAAGCCCTGTGTTTCGTGCTCAAATCCGCACATGTTCTTAGCAGATTCACATCTTCAATTTTAGTTTTATTTTATTCATTTTTAGATCATCTACAGACATGTGTATATATTGAAATGCACGCACATATTGTATATATATATATAATGATACTGTAGATTACACATTATATATAAAGATATTCTATCACTCGCATTCCTCAACTAGCCCATCTTGTGAATCACATTTTTACCGCAGCCGCTGCGCCCGTCTTCTCAAGGATTGTCGGCCATGGCAGGTCTTGTTGGACAAAGACAACTTGACTGATGGCTGGAGCAACATCGAATCAGCTATGGCAGCCATTGACCAAGGCCGTTGGACAACGCGGCCAAGGGGGTGAACGGTTAGCATGGTTAGCCGGTGGACTTTTTTGTTGGACCGAAAGAAAACCAATGAAACCAAAGCCTAAAATATGCAAACATAGGAGATTTAACCTGATTAAACTAGATAGATATTGATGATATTTGGTGTTTTAGCCCAAGGTTCATGGGTTGATGCTGGGTCAATTGACATAAATTGACTGTTTGATGGTTGGCCAGTAGCTCTGAAAACAAGAATGCATGTAAAGGTAAGCAAAAACATGTGGTTGAACCATTAGGGAGTCTAGCCAAGAACAAGATTATAACATGGTTCTTAAAGGAGGAACCTGGGGCGACATCCCATTTTAAAAAATGTAAGTATTTGTTTGCGGAGTCACTGGTACTGTCATTCAAGTCCTAGCGATGCCAACCAAGATTCTAAAAGATCCTACAGTATATGGGGATGGATACCGATAGTGGTTGGTGGTTTGGAACATGAAATTTACTTTTCCATATATTGGGAATTTCATCATCCCAACTGACGAACTCATATTTTTCAGAGGGGTAGGCCAACCGCCAACATATTTTTGGGGGGATGAACATCCACCAGCTATTGTTGATCTTAGGCCAACTGCCAAGGGAACCATATCGCCTGATACCATCGCCAGGCGGCGGAAATCAGAGATCCTGATTTCAAAATCGTTTCCCTATATTTCCCTTTTATTTTGGTAGTACTGTACATCATTTTATGCAACATTTGTTTAATATCACAATTTTATGATAGATCCTTAAGATAACAAAATAGATACTACATTAGTTTATCTTTTTGGTGGGCTCCTAGAGGTATGCATTATGACGCAGTCACAGCTTTTTAATTTCGGTAAAGCTTGGCAAAACAGGGAAGGGTTTCAGGATGTAACCAATGCCAATCCACATGGTAGGCATCAATCCCAAAGAATTCCAATTTGGTATCTTTCAATATTTAGCCCATATTGAATATATTCAACATCATGAATACTACCCGGACTACCCGGGAATGGAACATAGCTATAGAAAATGGTCCAAAAAATGGATCATCTACCTATATTTTAATATTTACCTGTTAAAGATTGGGATTTTCCATAGCTATCTTGACCGGAAGACTATAGATCATCACTAAGACGATTGAGACTATCCCCAAAAAGATAGAACTATAAATTGTGGACTGTAAATTCGGGTTCCAGCTAAACTTGAATTTCTAAGTGAAAGAGGGTTATAGTTATATCCTAACTTATGGGGTGTTATGACCATGGTTATAGCAATAAGACGAATCGCAACTGCACTCCCAAGTAGGAAACGTATCCCATTCCCATTTCATCCCCATGGGATCGCCATTTTTGATGGTTTAAACCACAGACAAGTTTACTCTATATCCCATGAAATTACAATGTTTGAGGCTTTAAATCCGAATCCACATTCAATCCCATCAAGTCCTAGTAAATCCCATTAAGAATCAGAATCTGAGTTGCTTCAACCCCATTGAAATCACCATTTTTCTGTGTGAACTCCCATGAACTCTGAAAAAAACGCCACCACCCATGGGGTGCCAGGGCTGATCGCCACGATTGCGCTGGTCCTGGGTGCCGCGTTGGTGGCTCGGGGCTTCGCCTTGGTGAAGCCTTGCTTTGCGCCTTGTTGAGCGGGGGTATTTACCATGGTCTAGTGCTGGTATTTACCATCACCATCTAGATGTTTTTTTAACATATATTTCTCTCAACATCTATTTGCCATCAACATCTAGATGTTGATAACTGGGTATATATAGATTATTGTTTATACTATATACATCAACATCGTAGAAGCGAGAATGTTGTACTTTTTAAATGATGTTTTGTTTCAGAAAAAAAACAGCTAGGAAAAACACATCTCTAACCATGCTAAATATCCCATCAAGTATCCTGATGAGCATACCATTAATGGTGCTATATTGGAGGCGATGGTTGATGGTTAATAATGGTTAATGATGTTTATAAATGGTGATCAATGGTTAATAGTGGTGCTCAATTGGATTACCCTTTGGAAATCAAACATGGCTAGCTGGAAAGTCCACAAACAAAATGGAGGTTGACATGAGGACATCATCGGCAAACCATGTTTGATTCCTGGATTTGCGGTTTGTGTATATTCTCGGACATCCACTACGGCTGGGGAATTGATGGTTCCTCAAGCAAATCTAAGAGCACGGTGTTGCAACAATCCCAAAAAGATAAAAGAGTAACTAATCCCACTAAAATAGTAAATGGAACCTTGTCGATAATTTGGAGGTGGATTTGTTTTTTTACCACCGCATCAATTGAACCCACCAATATTTTTGGGGCAATGTCTTAGCATTCCCATCTGGGTGCAGAATGACTGTGTTTGTTTTATTTTGAATTTTGCATGTGCGCAGATACACAATGTATTTCTTGTCATCATCCAAAGAACAAAAATCTGCCACTTGTATACCAACACATGTTGCTTGGTTGGGTTGGTTGGGTACATACCCTCCATATCTCCAGACTGCAAATGGGGAACCCCCATTTCAATGAATTCTTTAACCATTTCAATGAATTCGTTAATCGGGAAAATGATGAGAAACTACTAGATTTAGGGGTCCACTTTCAGAGAAACCATTTTACCTATCAATTTGCTCTGGATTTCCAGAGGTTTTTCAGCCAAAAAGGTTCTTTCCACAGCCTTGGCCCTTGGGTGTCGCACCTTTACCGTGGCATGTCGCGAAGGACGGGCCTGGAGACCGGAGAAAATTTGATCATGAATGTGGGAGGATGGGGACATTCTGAATCATTGGCATAATAATAATAACAGTAATAATAATCATCAGTGGTAATATGAATTTCATATTTTAGGTCTTGCAAAATGGTGAATCATCCCTCAATGAGGCACAACATTGCTGGGTACCTTTGACATGTAGGTATGAAATACCAATGATTTTCCTTATGAACGGGATTTGATCCACATGTGCGAACCCATTCATGTTGATGGCTAAATGAGATACATGTTACTACCATATGACGGGAAAAAAAAACACATTTGTCAACCTTGAATCCTGAGATGAGGCAACCAGAACGATGTGATCACACGTTGCACCAGGTTTTGCGCAGATTCTGTGTCTTCTCAGTCACCGCACCGGTGCCGTGTCGGAGGACAGATGATACCTGGCGTTGTGTCTGCCCTGTTGGTCTTCGGATGCCGGAAGCCCCGGGATGGTGAAAAATGGTGGAGGATTTGCATGGCGTATCTAGGAATCGTTGAAGGCCGGGGTTATGTAGATGGATAAATGGATAGATGGATAGATGGATAGACAGATGGATGGATAGATGGACGGATAGAAACATAGATAGATAGATACGTATATATATTTTTTTGTTTGCAACATCTAGACATCTAATGATGAGACAACACCCCTCTTTTTGTTTTTCGGTGTTGCCTCGGGCATGGCCTCAAAAAGAAACCTCGCCAGTTCAGCTCAAGAGCTCGTTCACGAGATCATGGCGGGGCTTCAGAAGTCCGCCAGTTCCCCCGCTTTGATCAATGCGGCGGCCTCCATGTCGCACGTGCCAAAGCGGGCCACGCAACACGCCCTGTTTTTGGCCTCGTGGGAAGCTTGGATCGGGTGAACCATGGTGAACGGAGTGATTCACGAGGAACTGGCGTAAAAGTTGATTGTTGCCAGGGAAAACAGTGGGGAGGTAGCAACATGCAAAAAAAAATTAGGAAACATGCATGGCATGTCCTGTGGTTCTGGTGAAACATGTTGGTGGATTTAACTTAAAGGCTAGCATTTTATTAATACCGTTTGAATGCATAACCTGGTTCAATGGGAGGCTAACCAGAGATTTTGAGACATGCCCTTCAAACATCAAGGATTGAATAAGCAAGAACAGAGAGAGATAGAGAGATAATCCACTACTAGCCCACCTGGGGCTGAAAACAAATTGGCGAGTAGGCATTAGGCATTAAACCTTATCAAAACAATTTAAAACCGCCAAGTCGTGATTTGCAATCCAATAGGCTGTCAATGTATGTAACCATATGATATAGCAATAATCATATCTTTACCCTCTGGTAATTTAACATAGCTATGGAGAATCACCATTTTTAATGGGAAAATCCACTATAAATGACCATGTTCAATAGCTATGTTAGTTTACCAGAGGGTAATGATTTTAATGCCTTTGGTGTCAAAGTTCATTTGGTGTTCATTTGGTGAACGGGACGGGAACCGGTTGAACCGGGGAAGCCCTGGGCTTTCCAAGGAAGTGCCACCTGCCTGCTTGAAACCAGGGCAGGCAACGTCAGGGAGTCGAGTTGTGCCTTGACAGCGGCATGGGTTGTGATGGGTGGTTTGCCAAAAAAAACCTGTGGGGCAAGCCAGAACCATAATAGGTAAATAAATAAATAAATATATATATATATATATAGGTAAAAAATGGTAAATAATTACAGGTAAATAGTAATTACAATAAAGATATATAAAACTATGCCATTGTGATTACTGATTTCCCTAGTATATATAGTATATATCTTTATACACCATATTTTTCCCAGAACCACAATAGATGTGAAGCCACTCATGATGGGATGTCCTGAGAGGTCGCCATCAGTGGTCCAACGGATGACCAAATGGGGCTCGAGCAAGAAGAAGCATTGAAGAATCTAGTGCAGTTTACTAGTTAAAGACAATTAAACCAACTTCAATCAATGGAATCAACATCAATAAAAACCCATAAATGATAATGAAGGCCTGTTTATTGAAGTTTATCTTGTTAAGACCACGAGCTCGTGGCGATTTTTTTATGACCCCTGCAGTTGATCCGCGGTTTGTGACTGGAGCTCAGAGCTTGCAATTGGAATGTACTGGAATGTATACATATACTTTTTAATTTTTATATAGTACAGAATCGATAAAGTACATATATTCAAGAGTGGGGAAATATGTATAGGGAGGGAGATACATATTACATATATAGTATATATATATATATTGGATCGTGTTGCAATATATATACACTCCAGCTACTGAGCCAACCATCCATCTCTCACTCGACTCCTCTGAGGTTTACTCAGAAGAAGCGCCTGATCTGAAGACGACTTACCTTAGCGAACGGCATCCTCCCAAGTCGATGTATGCCGAGACGGTTTCCCTCCTTACCACGCCACAGGAGGGTGCTGCAGTAGAGTTGTGACAGCTTAAGAGCTGGAAAATCCTCAGGTATCCACAGTTTTTTTTCGGAGGAAATGTCCGGAAATAGTGTTCATGTCCTGGGGGATTATCTTTCGCAGGGTTAGTTTAACCCTGCTTCAACCCTTAGGGTCCAAGCGGTTTTTGCTCAAACGGTCTCGATTATGACCAGCTTGTAGCAATTTGAATTTGGGTACGTGACCCAGTGTGCATCCCATTTGCAGAAACACAATCCCACGCACTTACACCGGGTTTCAAACCAGTTGCGTCCCTCTTTTGCAAATCAAAACCAAATATGTGGTACCTTCTACATCCTTCAACCATCATTTGGTTGAAGTATGTTTTTCCTTCCACTATCATTTTGGTCCCATTCATGGTTTTTGTGGCCCAAATTTGGGCCTTTGATCCGTGACCCCGGTGACCCCATGGCACCAGGACTACAAGAACCCAGTGCAGCCCATTCGGCAGAAGGAGCCACCCGCCAGCAGTGTGGGACACAGAGGTGCACAACATTGGTCGTCCACCTACAAGACCTCGCATGATGACAACGCGATCGTTGGATCCGTAGCTTGGCTTGGCAAGAAAAGGAAGAGCTACAGCAGCTACGGGTTTGAATGGAAAACTCTGGTTCAAAAGCTGAGTCTATAGGTATATAATGGTATATAATTTTATAATGATCCCTATGGATCCAAGTACCTTCTTAGGAAGTGTTTAGGGGGTTGAGTACCTTCTCAGACAGTGTTTGGATCCACAAGGGGTATATAAACCTTTGTATCATCATGAATTCCAGAAGCTTTCCCTGTCAAAGCTTTTTTTTTGTGTTTTTCAGCTAAGGTCTACCACAGGCAGACAGGTCCTTCATATCAGGCAGCCAATCCACCCACCTGCAGCCTGGATGCGGAGACGTGGGCGCTGCAGAGGATTTGCCAGGATTGATTGATGTGATAAGTAGTCAAATAATATCAAATAATTGTGTTTTAGTATCAAAAGGTAATAATGTAATATATATATATATATATTATTATATATGTGTGTGTGTGCTGTGCGTGTGTGTGTGTGTGTGCAAAGATGGCGATGGAGAAAGAGAGAGAGAGAGAGAGCGAGAGAGAATTGTAAATGCAGGCTTGTGTGAAATCCAACGATCTTCTGCAACAGACCTACGTCAATGTTTCCGCAGCCTAAACAGTTCCGTCATGTTCATGGTAACATTAAGATTTATTATATACGCGTTTTAGCTGGGACAGTCTCGCTGTTGAAAACCTGCCAAAATAGATGTTAGCATGTGCAGCACGCGCAACTGCTTGCAGTTCTTCAGGTATTTTTTCTGAAAGATGATGAAAGCTTTCTCAGATTTTTCAGCCCCAAGTGACCAAGTGGGGATGGGTCAAAACCTTGTACCCCTGGTGAACATCAAAATAGCTGGTAAATGGATGTTCATCCCACTAAAAATGTATCTATAGGTATTGACCCATACCCAAGTGGAGCAGTTCTGAACCGCCAAGGTATCGGCGGTGCCGGATCCCAGAGCGCCATGTCCGAAGACTTTGGCGTCTACGGTTCGGATCCACGTAGCAAGGTGCCAAGTTATTTGGTGCCCCGTTGAAGGTGTCTGAAGGCTACAAATCCGTGAGCAAAATATGGAGGTCTTAAAAGGAAAACACGGAAATTATAAGAGAACTGGAGGTTTTATTAGGCAAAATATTGGCTTTATGGAGAACATGGAGCTTTCATACGGAAAATATAGGAAAGATCACCTGTGAGACATTGCCATGATTGCCGGGCAAGCAGAACTGGCGACTGGTGATGACGGATGAACCTGGCGTTGGGCTTAAGGTGCTAAACAAAATGTGAACTGCACGATTACCAAACTTGGATTTGGCCGAACAATGGATGGCATCCCCTAAATTGCCATTTTAGATCATTTTAGTATATTTTAGTAAGATGATTTTCGAACAACATTTGAATCATTTGATTTTAGCCCAATCCAATCTTCAGACAAACCCATTCCGGTTGTGTTTATGTATGATGGGCTGGTTTGGGTTGTTGTAGTATAGACATTTTTTTGCCCCTTCAATTCGTTTTTTTGCTTTTTTTTTGCTCAAACATGTCAAGCTCGACAGTTTCTGTTCGTGAGACTTGTGTCTTTATGACCCGACGAGATGCACCTCAGGGTTATGTTCTACTACCAAAGATCCAAGATCAATGGTGCCTCCTACAATGGAGGTGCTGTATCCGTATCAAGCTATCGTATCAAGCTATATATATATTTTGTGAGGATACTGCCTTACATATCCTACCCTGTAGTTAAGTGGTTATCTAAGGTAGAAATGGGTAATGAAACATCTTCCATTTTTGCATAAAAGACGTGGTAAACCCAACAATAAACCTGCCATTTGGAGATAGCTCAAAACCACCCGCATACCATCAAGCAGCATGGTGCAGCAATATTGGGGATGGTTTATTACTGGGTTTACTACATAATCCATGTTCAGAAGCCTTTCCTGATGTTTATTTTCCACTCAGCAAGATGCAATACAGATGTTCCAGCTCGCCAGGTTGGACAACTCCGCGTTTGGAACAACGCCTCAAACATGACCCATTCATTGATGCCCACCTGAATATGCCATACATTCCTGGCTCATTTTATGTTCCATGTGCTTCTCAAACATGGCAGGCAAACCAATCCCTCGCAGCCTACTACTAAAAAGTTTCGCACCCTAAATGGACTCATAAAATTGAATAGAGATGTTCATGGGGGAAACACATCAACCACAATGTGGGCCCCCCCAGTTATAAGTTGGTTTCTAAACCCCATTAACTATACTTATAAGTACAGTAAACCATAGTTATTGGAGTTATAAACGCACCAACTTAGCTATCGCAAACGGCCCCACATGGCCCCACATTGTATAGTTTTAAAGCCATTGGAACCGGGCAGCTTTGAAGATAGCAACGTTTTTCCCCATTCTTCTGGCCAGGTTGATCCCATGCTGGATCGGATCCCCATTCGCAAGACAGCACTGACGGCCGGTACGCCCAAGGGCACCCTGCATATCCCAGGCGGCAACGGATGGGGACCCACAGGGCAATGGATTGGTTATAAGGGAACATCTTCACCGGAAACCATTGATTTTCCCATGAAATATGGGATTTATTGGGGTTTTCCGGTTCCAATTTTCCCTTAAAGCAATCCATTGAAAAGGGACTAGTATGAATTATCCTCCCCAAAATGAACTCATGTGGGTGAAACAATGTCATGTTTACCATCCCCCAGTCATCACCATAATTATAGGTGGTATAAACCATTCCCAAATTGGTGGGTCATTATTGTTTCACCCACATTATAGACCCTGCCATGCCATGAGTTGGGCTTTGGAAGATTTACTTTCAACTAGCAGTTGGTTTCCGTGGGTCTACGTGAAGTCAGGGGAGGGTAGCCTCCGGTAATTTACAACTTCTTATTGAAAATCACAATTTTCGATAGGTAAATCCTCAATAAATGAATGGGCAATGTTCATCCATTTTCCATAGCTATGTTAGATTACCATAGTGCAGGGGAAAGGGGTGACTCAACTTATCCAAGCTTTTGGGCTACCCAATTGTGACGGAAATTGCCACGTTGGATTACTGGAGGATGAACACTACTACTGAGAAGACAGAGGTATAAATGATATGTTGCGAACTAGGATGGGGATTCATAGGGTACATGTATATACATATATAATCATATATAATCATATATAATCATATATAATCATATATAATCATATATAATCATATATAATCATATACAATCATATATAATCATATACATATATATATATATATACACCTCTTGGGCCTCTTGGCAGAACCAAAATGGGTCAATAGATGGCGCTGTTAGGCGCTGTTTGTTATCATTTGCTGAAATGTGCATATGTACCTCACAAGTCGGCTTTCACCATCAACAATGTGGTAAGTCACCATCAATGGGGAATAACTTCAGAATGCTGCGGGCAATACCCATCAGTGGGCACCCATTTTTTAACGATGTTCAAGATTCAAGACGTATTCAATACTTACGCATTACCCTTTGGTAATATAACAATGCTATGGACATCTATGGACAAATTGCCCATTCATGGGTGATTTACCTATTAAAACGAGTGATTTTCCATCGCTAAGTACATTTTCTGAAGCGTATCATGACTGTGCTCTGAGGAATCCTAAGTCAGAGAAACCGACACTCACGACAGCCAGCTACTGTAAGAAATATTGTGCGGGATAGACGCCCCTACTTGTTGATTGGTGTTTTTGAGTGATACTACCTCATACAATTAATATTTTTTTCTATACATTTAACACACACACAAACACGCACACACACACATATATATATATATATATACGTATATTTATATATTATACACATTAGTGATGTCATTGCAGCAATGAATCGATTACTCTTTTTTCAATCATGTATGCATGACTCTCGCATGGGAAATCTATCAACTAAGCAGGAGAACTCCACAGCAGACATCAAGATTGCCCAAAACGTCAGCAGAAGATAGCAGAAGTTGGAATCGGCCGATGATTCAGTGCCAGCTGTGATCACCGGATATCACTGGCATTCTGGTTGTTTCCCGGAATTGACGGGAATAATCAGTCCGGTGACTGGATTATCAGTACAGTAGGTTTCCTCTCGAGGTTCCCTGGAACATCTTCGAACATTTGCCATGAAGTGGTCGGTAGCTCCATGTTTCTTCCAACTAGCATGTGGCACAAACACCGCCTACTATCATCATCTATCATCTACTATCCCACCAAAACCCAAACAAATCAGGCATCATCAGTGACCGTTGGGAGGCTACAACGGCTTCTTGCCCCTGAACACCCGCAATCCCTACGTGGCCCGGGTGGCCAGTGGTACTAATCTTCGCACCAACGACAAGTCCCACATCACCGATCAGCAGCTGTGAGGGCAATATGAAACCCCAGAGTCACCATCGTGGACGTAGGGGATCTTCGAAATGAGGTGTTTTTTATGGTTCACCTATGGAAAACTATAGATGGATAGTTAACTATAACTATGTTACATATGTTTTTTTAATAGATCTATGGTTCAATATTAATGGAACCATTAATGGAACCCTGAAATAGATCTATGGGGGATCTATGGAACCATTAATGGGATGGGATTAGATGGAACATAGATGGACACATGATGCCCTTGATGATTATGAGTGAATCATAAGCCCTGAACGCCCGAACATTTTTGGGTCACCTTTGGCGGGTGGTTGAATCCCTACGACTAGCTGATTTTGGTCGCCTCAACTGGAACCACTGACGCCTGGGCATTTCAATCTTTGCATGTGCATATTGTATATGTATATGTTTGCTTACCCTTACCCTCCAGTGAACTAGCCTAGCTATGAAAAATTGCCCATTCATAGATTACCATCTGGTTATTTAACATAGCCGTGGAAAATCACCATTTTTAATAGGTAAACCATCTATAAATGGGCCATTTTCCATGGCTATGTTAAATAACCAGAGGGTACCTATTAAGATTGCAGTTGCTAGTTGCTATGTGACTTTACCAAAGGGTACACTTAATTTGTTCCGTTCCTCTGTCAGATTGACCATTCCACACGGGTCCGAGGGCATTTCTCCATCAAAGGGTGATTTGGAGGAAGCATTGACCAATGGATGGTCCGAGAGTTGCTATGGGAAGGGGGGAATGAACAAGAATGAACATCCAGAACCTAAACTACCTGCAGGTTATTTAACATAGCTATATGGAACATGGCCCATTTATATGTAGAAATTCCATGGATCATTGGCCGCCTGGAAAATGGTGCTTTTCCATGGCTACGTTCGTCATAACCAGAGGGTACCTATAAAAACATGGTGATTTTTTCCATGGCTATGTTAAATAACCAGATGGTAATCTATATATAAATGGGCCAAGGTAGTGACCACATCAGGAAATTTCAGCATCATGTGAACCGAGCTAAGTCTTGGGAGGGGAGTGGTTATTTGGTCATGTTGGGATTTGTTTTCCCAGGTTTCACGTGAACACCCTGCACTATGCCGGACATGTACCTTTGAGCGTCACTAACAATTTCGGACCAATGAATCCAGGAGCCGAGCAGGGCATGTTGCGGGATGTGTGGGGTGGACTGGGACTGAGAAAAGATGGGAATTCCGTAGGTCCTATGGTGTCTTTGGTATGGTGTTCAGAAGATGATGAGGATGCAGTATGTCTGTAAAAGTTTCTTGCTAGCCAATTCATGGTGAAATCGACTGCAACGGGAAATCAAAAAATCCACATGGAGACTTCATTGTTTGTCCCATCAGGCTTGGAGTGCTTTGCTTGTTTCCAGGGTTGATTTGGCTCATGCAACCGCCCGGTCCGCTATTATCCCTGGAAATTGTTGGGGAAAAGAACACCGACACTACATGGAGGCTTTTGGTACTTATTTGAGGGCCCAAGACAGTAATCCAATATTTGCTGTTGCCCTGAATTGATTGATCTATCTACCCAATCAATCTACTAGTATCATCTAGTATAATATAGTAAATAAGTTTTGAACATTCACAGGCATCTACAGACAGATGAATCAGAATCATCTGTAGAATTATCCTTTATGAAATCGTCTGGTTGTCTATTTATATATATATATATGAGTTTATCATAGTTTATCCAGTCATACAGTATTTATGAACCAAGGTACCTACATGAATTCAGTTCCCAAAGTTAGCCACAGTTCCACCCGCCGCAGCCGGCAGAGGAAACCGCTCTATGATGAGTCGCAGCTTCAAAGCACCCAACCTCTCAGCCTTCGACTGACTGCGTCAGCAGCGTCAGCATAGGCATAAGATATCATAAGATAGGATGGGGGAGCCCTTGAGGAAATGAGAGTATTGCACACCGTGTTTAAGGTTTTGTTTGTTTTAATGGGGCATCCCCAAGTCACATCAAGTCACCATCGGTCCATAGGTTTCAAGACTCCTGGTTTGATTTTAGATGATTTGGGGCTACTCCCCATAGGAAAGCTCCACAAAGAACTCGTGGCACTGTCGGAATCAGATGATCAAGCTCTGGTGCAGCACCGCTGGTGACTATAAAGCAACCAAAAAAAACATGGCCCTCGAGTAAACTACCAGAGCTCTGGGGAAATTGCCTATTCAAAAAGATTATGATTTAGATCATTTGCCACATTTGCCTCTAAATCATGATGATTCTCCAATCTTTTCCATATGTTAAATGACCGGCTTCGCCAAAAATTGCTAATCGATCCCACACTGGATTGTTGAGCCGTTTTTCCAATACGATCCTTCCACATATGCCACAAATTGATAGCTTTTTTGTTTGGAGGGGGAGGGAGCGGATAAAACACACATAATAATATTCATAATTAATATCCAGGTTCTCCAAGACGAGACCAACCATGATCATGATCCCACATATCCCACATCCAAGCAGAAGAACTGATGCAGTCTGGGCGGATGGCGAGAAAGCGACAGTCCGACAGCAGCGTTTTGGACCCATAACATGGCACAAGATACCGGTAACAATAGTTGTAATCAATAAATTAATGACAGTCAACCACAACAAATAATCGTGAATGATAGTGAATAACAATCAACAGTGAAACTAGTGAATGATAACAATCAATCGAAGCCCTGTTGCCCTGGTCTCATAGGTTATAACCCATCCGTATGTTAATACTTGTATTATTTGTTGATGATGTTACCATGCAGTCATTTTTCAGATAATTATGGAAGAATTGCCCATCTACAGATACTCACTTAATGATTTACCAAAAAAGAACTTGGCGATGTTCCATAGCTATGTTTGATTACCAGAGGCTAATTCGTATTTTGAGGCTTTATCATCGTTTTATCATCGTTTTATCATCGTTTCATTGGTTCCAACTTCGTTCATCAGCGTGCCATGATCGTGACACATGGCAGATGGGTTCAAGACTGCGCCGCTGCGCGCCACGCCACCATGGCCAGCATGGGGCGATGATGTTCTTTCACAAAACAGGAATCCGTAAGAAAGATCTGAACACCAATCGCGATAACAACTTGTTTTTTGAATGCTTATTATATATATTTATATATATATCAAAAAAATATCAATTATATGTCTATATTCGCTAGAAGTTTCTATAGTATATCTACGATTTCTATTGACTTATCATTGAAACACATCATGCACGGATGATTCTATATATAATGAAACCGGGGATTCCTGCAATGATCAAAAGAAATTCTGGGATAGGTGTCTGTAGGCTGACATGGTGGCCAAGATCATCGACTTGGATGACTTGGGATGGAAAAAAACCGGTGGTTTCCGGTGAAGATGTTCCCAAAAATATCCAGCCCCAAATGGATTATAGTTTGAAGGGTTGACCTGGAAATATTTCAAGTAAATATCATCGAAGTAACATCCTGGAAACACGTAACTTGTCCATTCTTTTTGGCTGCTGAGTCACCCATCCATTGATTCTCAGTGCCACCAAGAAAAAATAGGGCCGTTTCACCGGTGTTCATGGTCTGCACATCTTCTACTCCTTGAGGGATGTGGGGATGGCAGGAACTGAGATTCGAGGCATTCCCAAGACGGAAAACGGCTGGCCCATGCTGGCCCCACCTGGGAATTGGTCCAATTGATAGTCTTATCTTGTGCAGAGGGAGAACTGGAAGGGTAGAAATAATGATTCTGTATGAACGCAACTGACTTGCTCTGAAAGAGTGCCGTTTTTTCCCCCATAACATATACATACATATATACATATATTATATTAATAAGCATCCTCAGGCAATTTGAGATAGCTATGGAAATGAACTATTTCATTTGAGGATTCACCTGTTTACAAAACCGTGATTTTCCATAGTTCTGTCCAGAGGGTACCCCACCCAAAAATTGGGTTTGTGAGAAGGGTTGTTCAGACATATTACTATTATTGTATTGTAGTATGTTTTAGCGAGGAATTCTTGAAATGTCCAGATTTTAGCTACCCCAGGATGATAGTAGATCTACATTTGCATGTCTATGTTCAGTATAGTAGGAGTGATTTCATATGTTTGGCCCCGAGTTTGGTCCTTGCCAAGCCCCTGCCAAAAGAAGACTTTGAAAAGGTAGGTAGGGTCCAAGACACACATCTATACTCGCATGCAGATGTATGTGTACAGTACATAAGTACACGCATGGCTGTTTGTATTGTATGTATGTATATATATATATTATATGATGTAGCATGCTACTATACACATATATCTGGGTAAATTATAACGACCTCACTACGACCTCACTGGAATCATGGTTAGTAAGGGAAATCATCCCCAAATGGCCTTATTTCAGGTAGGCATTTGGCTCCGGCCTTCTCGGGGCGTGATCCTGTCTAGCAAAGCCAGCTAGCAAACGGTGCCAAGTCATTTGATTGCCATGGAGATGGATTTCCTTCCTGAAAAGCTATCTGATCTTTTGGGCATCCACGACATGTATGGTCTTCCCGGTTGTGACTGGTTGGGGTCCCGACAAAATTTGCTCATTGATGAGGTTGTTCCATTTCAGAAGGATGGCAAGTTCATGTTGAATGGCAGACATGTCACTCCTGAGGGAGGAAGCAAAAGGATGTTTATTAACAAGTGTTTCCCAGGTTTGCCAGACCAAACACACAGCGAGCCGATCAATATTCTCTGTGAAGAATCTTTCCCAGTAGATGTTGACGCAAAGATGATGCTATGGAACGTGAAAGATCCTTTTTCTCATGAAGTTTGGAGTGATGTAGCGTGGATCATTGACAAGCATACCTTGGTTTTGCCTGTCACAAAGAAGTCAGCACAGAAAATCCATGTTTTTGAGCCATTTGCCGGAGGATATGGAGGTTGGAAGCACGGTTGTCGTTTCCTGAAGGAAGTTTGCAAAGTGCCAATTCAGACCGTAGGCTTGGATTCCGATTTGCAGACATGTGTCAGCTATGCCATGAATCACAATGCAATTTTGTTGGATTCTACCACCAGCAAATGTAGAACCAATTTTGCAGAATTTGACAGTGATTTTATCATTCATGGATCGGTGGATGATGATGCTTGGCTTCCTGATATTTGCAAGTGGGGGGTTCATCTCATGACATGTAGTGCTCCATGCCCACCTTGGAGCGCAGCAGCCAATGGACCGGGCCTTCACTCAGATCAAGGGTGTCTCCTGCCTAGCATGTTGATGAAATGCAGGTTGGTTCGACCATTAGGCATCTTGCTCGAACAAGTCAATGGATTCAGTACGCATGCGCACAAAAGATGGTGTGTTGATGTACTCAAACATGTGGGGTATCAGCTGGTTTGGCAGAAAGTCCTAGACTCAGCAGAATTTGGAGCCACCACGAGGATCAGATGGCTTGCTTTGGCAATACATCGACACAGTGAGAAAGTGCAGCGCTTGCCATTCCAGACATGGCCTGATTTTGGTCAGTTCAATCCACAGATGTTAGATGCTCTCTTCCCGCTAGGTAGTGTAGAGATTGAACAACTGAAAGCCACGCCTTCCATGATTGCATGTGCAAGTGACTCTACCATGTTGCCTCCTTTCTTGCGTAACAAGCTCAAAAATGCACCGGGCAAAGACATGCTTGCAGCCAGAACAACCAATCCAGATGATGTGCAACCCACAGTGATGGCAAAATATGGTGTGCAACATTTGTTTGACAGATCGGTCCTTGAGCGTAAGGGATATTATGGCCACTTCTTGAAACAGGAGGAAATTCTGCGACTCTTGCACCCAGTTGAAATCCAGATGTCACACATTTCCTATGGTGAGATTTTCTTTCACCATGACTTGATTAAAACCTGGGAGCACACTGGAAACATGATCTCATGTCCCCATGCTACTTTGCTATTGGCCAATGCGGTGAACATGCTGAGAGATTTCCAATTGAACCACAGTGTCACAGAAGTCTTTGATGCTTTGTTTCAAAACAGAATCAGGATGACAGACTGCAAACGTGTCACTGGAGGTACTGCTAGCATGTTTGTCGGTAAGCATGATCAAAGTAGAGATTGGGTAGGATGTCTGACCAACTATGAAACCTTGCAAAACATGAATTGTGAATTTCGGCTTCCTGACGACATGATTTGGATTCCAAGTGGGGGCTTGAAGAATCACTCTGCACTGAAACTCCATGCGAATGAAAGCTTGCCAAGTAGTCAGCTCACTCCAGTGACGCAGCCAGATGAGATTGAAACAATTTCACCCACAGTGCCATTTCAAGCCATGTTACGTGTCAAGTTTGAGAATTCCGACAAAATCACTGCAGCCTGGATCTCATCAGATGTCTCGCCAACTGAGCTTGTCCAACAATTTCATGGACAAATGAAAATGCAAAGTGAGATTGAACACGGTGATGGTTTTGCTTTTTCACTCAAGCATGCAGTCCAGGTACAGGATGTTGATTACAGCAAGGAATTTGCCACACCGGCCCTTCATCAGGGTAATCTCATGTTTTTGAAGTTGGACACCAACAAGAATTTGAAGAAGCAGCTGAACGACAGGCATCTGCAAGAGATCCAATTTGATCAATTTGGTATGCTTGCGGTAGGACAGAAATGCTGGTTTGACACGATGTTGCTTGATTTCAAGATAGAACATGAACCATTGGACACCTATCCTTGCATAGTGTTGGCTGCTGCCAAAGCCACTGAAACTTCCTTCTTGCCTGACCACAGCAAATTGGCCAGTGTTATCACCATCCAAGGTGATGAAATTCCCAGGAAAACCATGGCTGCATTCTGGGCCACATTGTTCACCAGTGACACTCTCAAGAGATTGGAAACCGTGGTTCGTGTTTTTCACTTGCCTGACCAAAG